CCCTTAAAACTTAAGAAACATTATCAAGTGAAAAATCAAGCGAATTACACAAAGAGGAGCAATTCTGTACCAAAATTAATTTTATGCAAAACTCAAACAAGACCCATACATATATATATGTAAGTGATTTTTCATATTCCTAATGCATAACTTAAAACATCCCATTCTGGAAATTTCAGTTTTACTTTCCATGGAGGAAAAAGATTTCGATCACTTTTCAACAGGGATGGAATGCTCAGTCTGGTTCCATAGCCCCCATCTTGATGCATTGATTTTTGTTCTATATGATTTTTTTTATTGTCTATTGACTCCCTTTGTTGCTTAAGATGACTTACACTATGTAATAAAGTACCTAAATGTCAATGCAAAAAGCTCGTTTATTTAACAGAGACAATTAATGCAATATGATTGTACTTCAGATTTTAAGTTTGGTGACAATACACACATTAATCGAATATAAACATAGACATTTTACCTAACGACATGTATGTGCAAGTTGTTTTTTCATCATATACTGAATTAAGTCATATCTAACGCGAATTAATAAAACTGCAATTCAAATGAAATGATTTTGAGTGATATGCACTCTTACACATTCTAATCTTAAATCATGTATTATTGCGCGATTTTCCCAATTCTTGTAGTTTTAGACAAATAATCAGGATTTTCTATTATAAAACATCAGGCTTTCAAATCTTACAAATTTGCTTTTTCGAAACACTTAATTCACGCAATAAAACCCCATGCACTTTATCAGAGTTCTAAAGAACAGAAAATAAGTGATATATACGACAATCTTTCAAACCTTTTATATAAAAGACAATTTCAGCAGGATCTAAAACATTCATAATGTTTACCAAAATCAAATTCTCAGACATGCATTTTCTTATCACATAAGAAAGAGCTCTGAGAGAATAATTTGACTGGTAGTGTAAATGATTGATCTGGAAAATACTTGCAAGCAAAACTGATGATTTTCTTCAATAAGCGTAATGTCCGTGGGGCTGTTAAGGTGGCCTCGGCTGCTGATTAACCTTAATATCTCGCAATTACTTCTCATATCTTCTCCATCGGTCATTCTAATAAATACTTTGTCATTCTACAGTAACAAACGCGCGTCACCACAGGCAGGTGTTTCCGTATATTATGCTGGACAAATTAGTATTTTTCTCTCCATTTAATTGAAAAATTATTTATGAATCGTTGGTGAGGCAATTGCTGGATTTCACTGAATTTTCTAGGAGGATTATTGATTTTGATCCTTAACAAGCACATCTTAAAGAACTATACTTTAAAATCACTTATTTTCGTGAGGTCAAATTTGTTGAGTTGTTATACGACGTATATTACAAATTTTACATTTCGTGGAGGTCATAAATTCGTGGGTTTCTTCTTCCCACGAAAACGACGAAAATAAATCGCCATTAAAATTAGTGTTTTCACAGTATTTACCTTATCACTCACAGAAAGTTGTTTAAACAACAATTCATTTCACAAAATTCATTTTAGATGTAGCTTAACCAGATATTTAAACAGTGATATCATTTGTTTAACTTTAATCAATATTTTTTTAAACATATCTCTGTGATAGACAAACAAAAAAAAGATATTGATGATATACAAAATCTGTAAATACCAAACAGCTCCTGCATAAACAGAGCGATCAGTTTTCTATCTGTTTGTTTTCTTAAGAGCCAGAATAAACAATACGAAGTGGTAAGACAGCTAATTTGAATTTGACATGCATTCTGGCATGATGAACAATTCATCAATACTGATAAAAATTTTAACAAAAAGAGAGAAAAAAAAATTAAAATTCTTCTGTATAACTGAAAAATATGCCGAATTAAAAATTATGGCATGTCAGGAAACACAGATTTTGTTAACTAAGAAACTGCTACAGGAATGTCTTTAACCGAATTCTATTGTATTATCTTTGTTATTTAATAGAAAGTTTATTCAAATAAATTACTCTTATTTGCTTAAAAAAGCAGAAGTTCCAAAAAAAAAAAAAAAAAGCAGAAGAATTGAGAAATATCGCAAAAAACTGGCATTTTGTGCCCTACTTTTGATAGCAGCCCTTGATTTATATAAATTAATGTTATTCTAATGAACTGCAAATCAAAATTCCTCCTCGTTGAACTTATCTATCTTTCTGTCTTATAGCGAGGGAAGAAAAGGTTCCAGATTTCAGATGTGTACCAAAGAGTTACCGTATGTAGGAAAATGTACTTACCATAACACGCTCTATTTACAAGCATAGAATAAATCATTTACAAGTTTGATAGAGACGCACTTTTGATTTTCTTATATACACAGTTGATCGTTTAACTGCTTATTCTTTTTCCTAATTAATTTTTTTTTCCCGTTAAGTGTCATGAAGTACAAATATAAAATTAGATAGTAGATTTTAACGTAACAAAAGTTGAAAATAAATCTGGTTTCAACAGTTCCTGGTTTAATTGATATTCCGAGCTGAAAGTAATTTTTTTTCTAGTCTTTTGATATGCGATCTTTTTTTATTACGGTTGCTTGAAAATGATACTATGGTACTAATTCATATTTGGGATATTTTTAATAGGAACATTTAAAGTAGTATCACTTGGATTGACTTCTCTACTAAATTCCTTGCACTACCAACATTTAATTTTAAATGAATGAAAAATTATCAGTTGAAAACACAAAATAACATTTACTTAGTAAATATACCATTCCCGTAAAACCTACAAATTTAAGTTTTTCGCTGGAAAAAAAATCAACCGTGGACAGAAAGGGTTATGCAGAAACTGCATGTGCTCATAAAATTAGACAAATTCAAGATTACAGAAGTATTTATTAACAAAACATTGCACTGGAATTATGTACCCACAATCTCACAATAACAGAAAATAACCCTCAGTACCTAGTTTTAAATTGAATAGGTACATCATCAATTTGTTTGCGTGATTAGCTGTTGGTGTTTAATCGCAACAAAATACATGTATTTAAGTTTTATTTCAAGTCGGACATCTGTTTACTAGAATTTTTGTTCCTTTTGGGCGGGTAGGGTGCTACCTCAAACAAAGTAGACTTGACGAATCTTAAAGAATCGTTGAGTGTATTATTCTCTAATAGAAAAATTGAAGAAAGAAGAAACCCGAGATCATTCTCTGTTAATGAACGTCAAATAACAAAAAAAATCTAATTTATCTATATATAATCATCGGATTGCCGACATACACAAACAAGATAAGATCACACTGTGGCATGGTCAGCAGCCTATAGCGTACAGAATCCGCAGCGAGATTTCACATTAACATGAATGAAACATGTTCATAGCGCAGAGGTGCCTAATCGTATATGCAGGTTCATCTATCGTTCACAGGTAATTGGCGTTCGGTAGGTTGAAAGTTTGATGGACACCAAATGATAAAAGTAACAAGTTAACGGATAGCTTTGTTTATTTACTGCTGTCTCCCGTGTGTGGGGTAATTATCTCATACTCCCAACGTCGATAACCCCGGGCCGGTTATCCTCTTCACCCCAGGAATCCCACAACCTCGCCGATTAGTGCATACCGCATTTACATGGACCTGTCATCTTCGCGGAAGTTCTTTATAACGGTAAAACAAATGTCTTATGGAGAGACCATTACTCCATCATCACGGAATTACCGTTGTTGATTCTACTGCATAAATATTTGTTTTCCGTTGCGTTTTTTGTACTGGGGCCATTGCTATCTCACTAAGTCAATAAACTTGAGCTATAAATAATCATTAAGATTCACTAGATTGGTCCTATAACTCCATCATTTCTGGTAATCTGGTGATTGAATTAAAAATTCATAACGTTAGCAGATTAAGGAAATAGATCTGCATGGTCATTCCAAGTGAGGGGTACCAAAGGGGAATTCGTGCGACAACAGCTGCTAGACAGCCTATATTGTGCATATTACTATTTAGTAGTCTGTGATACGAGCATTGAGGGAGGGAGATGCTCTGTTTTTGCTCTTTCGTCCTCGTCCTCAAGGGACCACGTTAATTGTTCCATTGCATAACTAGAGTGTTCCAAGGAACACACAATATCGCTTGCCATATGAATATATAGAGCTCCTTTGGTCATCAGAGGATCTTATTTCTGTTCATCAATAGAACACAACAAGTAACCTAAGGTTTCGAAAAGCCCTCTGTACGTCGAAGGAGGAAACAGGGATTTTTAAGCAGATTAAATGTTAGATTTCATGGTTAAACTGTAATTAACCCCGTTATTCTGTAAAATGTCATGTGAATTCTATTCTATTCTGTATTATGTGTAGCTTCAAAAGATAGAGAGAAAATCAATTTTGAACAAAAAACGTCAATGGTCAACATCAATGTCATAGCTGTTGTATTATAGAAAATAACTCCTCATGTGCAAAGGTAGAAACCCTGCCTCGGTTTAAAAGTATTCCTTGTTTGAAAATATTCTTTATAAGGATAGATCAAGACCAAAAGACCATTTAATAATTGTTGTATCTGGAAAAAAAGTCTTGGAAAAAAAAGTTTCGAAATCCAGTTACTTCCCCTTACGGTTCAAGAGATATAGAATGAGAGGGATCAAAGTTTTACATGGAAAAATATATTAGGTAAAAATCTTCTCCAGAACAAAGCCAGATTAGTCGTATCAATATGCAAGCATCCTCAGGTAGTGTAGATTCAGTTTTTTCTTCTTCAAATTATAGCTTCTGGGGTAGTGTCATGTTGTAAATTTTGCATTTACCGGGTGGCAGTAAATACAAAATTACAGTAAATTTTGTATTTACTTCCACCCGGTAAATTCAAAATTTACAACATGACAGTAGGATGGAGCCAGGGAGTTAAAGTTTTATATAATATTTATAGAAGCTTTTTAAATTTGTTTCTTCTCAAGAGGAACAGAACTATGATGCTACAAGAGCATCTTCAGAACAACTTGAGACATGATATATATATCCTTAATCGATCCTCAGATACATGTAATAATGATTCAAATTTGTTACAATCATGGCATTTGGGGGTATGGGCCACAATAGAGATCATTGTATAACAGTGGAATATAGTCAAGTAAAAATCTTTAAAAATCATCTTTTTAGAAAAAGGGTAAAATCCAGGATCAAATTTTACAAAATGTATGCTTACAGAAAAAAGATCTCCCTCTCAGAACAGCAACACCATGTTAATCAGCAGCAACGTGTTACAGGGATTAAGGTTTGGTAAAGTTTGGAGCTTCTGTGATGCCACAGTTCAATTTTTCTCAGGGGAATAAAAAGGGGGAATATTATCTTTTGAAATGAAATTTATAGAGATAACGAACAGTATTCAAGCTCAAAGTCCATTAAACAATACAAAATAGGAGCAGAGCAAACACGGACCTCCAAACATCAGAGGTAGGATCAGGTGCCATGGAGGAGTGAGCATCTCCTGCCGACCGGTCACACCCGAAAGTTTATTTTGAAAAAAAAAAGAAACTCAGATGAGAATTATGGCGATTGGGCCTCTTGTTCATATATCTTTTAGTCAAAAGTGCGGAGCCAAAATGATTGCTAGTACTTTATTATTTAAAAAGTAACGTTTTAACCTAAATTACACTATAATCACGCACGAATGCACATGATTTGAGATATGGGGCACATTAATAGATAAATACTGATAGTTGATTGAATGGTTGATTGTATGTTGTTTTATGTCCCGATGGGAAATTTTTCACTCATGCAGAGACATGAACAGCTGTAGGTAAGTCCCACAAATTTTACCTAGGCATGGCGCTTACGCCTACCGTGACCTACGATATCCGAAAGACCTGCTTGGTGATGGAACAGTCATTACCTATGATAAACGTCTATGGTTAGATGCAAGAATCGAACCCAGGCCTCCTAATAGCGCAAAGAGCGCCAAAACACATAAATGTTCGCACATTTTAGTTTCATCATAATACACATGACAAAAAATCCTTTCCAGGTCATTTCCATGCATTTTTCAGTATTGATCGTTGACAGTCAGTAGAGCACTCGCTCCGTGATCGGAAGGTCGTGTGTTCGAACCAAGGCCGCGACTAACCTAAGTCGATAAAAGATACGTAGCAACTGTTCCTTCGCCAAGCGCTTGCACTTTTCAGTTGCGGGTCTTTCGGATGAGACCTTAAAAACCGAGGCCCCGTGTCACGGTAGGCGTTGGAATGATAAAGAACCTCACTGCTCAATGGCCCTGAGTGCCGAGTAAAGGTCTAAATTTGAAGTTCCTCAACGGTATATGGTGACGTCTCTATATGAGTGAAAAATTCTCGAATGGGACGTAAAACAATATACAATCAATCTTCGATAAAAAGTTACTGCCATGTCCATTTCAAAATTTTTGCTTTATGAGTTATTTGTAAATCAAAATTTAAAAATCCATTTACTGAGAATCAATTCAAAAAAATATAAATATATATAATTGAAACCGTGTTAGCTCTGTTCCTGTTCTGTATTGTTTAATGGACTTTTGAGCTTGAATACTGTTCGTTATCTCCATATATTTCCTTCATATACATAATAAGTGAAAAATGATGCTAGGGCTATAATTATAAGTGGCTATTATTATCAATACATTGTAATTAAGAAGTTTGCCACGAGGAATATACACTGTACATGTATTTAAAATAGAATGTTGGTGCATGGAGAAAGGACTACGTGCTCGAAATAAAAATAGATGTAAAAGAATCTCCGGAGAAGGTCAACAACAAGCATTTCTTTAGAAGTGCGAATGACGTCCTTGATAAAATAATGAAATCGTCTTTGTTTACAAATCTGCATCATGTGCTAGGCATGTTGCAGACAAATTTGCCATTACGCATGCAGCGTCAATCCGTAAATAAACATGGTGCTTCCTTTTCGATCAACGTTCAAACACAGCTTTTTTAATTCTATTTGATCAGCCGTTTGTATTTTTTAGGTGATGTCGTGCACAGCAGGGATTTCAATATTTGTCTCTGTATCAAGTTTCCTTGAAGAAGAATGTCGATATTTTTGCATATATGAAAAGGTGTTTGAAGAATGATAACATTGAGTGTAAGGAATTATTCCTTTTTTCTTGACAAAATGATTATTTTTGAAAAACCAAAAAATGACATAATTATATGAATAAAAAATTAGGAGTTTGAAAATGTGGACACATTAATTTATTTATTGCAGCAATCAATGCAAGGTGATAGTTTTTATGAATATAATTTTCTGAAATCATATTTGATATGGTTTGGTTAAATACTGTGTCCTTTCTGACCGGGTTATATTTTATCAAATGAACTCTGCAACATGACTTCTTTAATTGTAGAGGTTATTTGATATAATGAAATCTGTCACAAAACAAGAACGTTTGACATAATTGGGCAATATATACCGTAGACCCATTTTACAAATTTTGGTAAGGATGTGTCTCATTGAATTTATTTTGACATGCATGCTGAGTCTTATTTGACTTAGTGCGGTGATTTTCTGAATTACAATATAGTGCAACTAAGAAATAAAGAAGTTTTTTGAAGTAATTAATTTAAATGAGAAAGTAGAACTAATATAAATAGTGATTGTCGAGGAAATAACTTTTTATACAACTTGTTTATAGTGATAAGAAGATACATGTAATTCTAGTTTTAATGTTTTCTGTATTTTTATATGTATACTATATCATTTTATTTTAATAATAAAATAAAAGACAATTTTACCATTCACACTACGTTCTAATGCCTGTATTCATTATGAATCAAAATTTCCATTTTAATTACATATTGTATATTTTTTTCAAACACGCCCGTACTGATACTGCATTTAGGTAGCCAATATTTCTGTCTCGCGTTTGAGTTTGGCCATGTATAATTATACATGATATTCAGCTAATCAGAAAGCCTTACATGTATAGGAAATATATAACACGATTTTACTGATACACTAAATTGAAATGAAAACTCAAAAACTTTAATTAATTGAACGATCAGTCAATTCATTGATTGATCGATTGTGAGAGATCTTGCATTGAACATTATTTCACAATGTCTAGGAATATGACAGCCAATGTGTATTTTTGTGTTATTTATCTTAGAGTACATCTATTGTAGAGTTGTAGATACAGTATCCCTTACGACTAGGGGTTTAAATACAGTGCCTCTTACAAGTAGAAATGTAGCTACACTACCTCCTATAAGAACATGTGTAGATTCAGAGCCTCTTACAAGTAGAGATCTAGATATAGTTTCTCTTACAAGTAGAGATGTAGATATAGTGTCTATTACAAATAGAAATGTAGATATAGTGCCTCTTACAAGTAGAAATGTAGATATAGTGCCTCTTACAAGTAGAAATGTAGATATAGTGCCTCTTACAAGTAGAGATGTAGATACTGTGTCTATTACAAGTAAAGATGTAGATATAGTGCCTCTTACAAGTAGAGATGTAGATATAGTGCCTCTTACAAGTAGATGTGTAGATATAGTGCCTCTTACAAGTAGAAATGTAGATACAGTGTCTATTACAAGTAAAGATGTAGATATAGTGCCTCTTACAAGTAGAGATGTAGATATAGTGCCTCTTACAAGTAGATGTGTAGATATAGTGCCTCTTACAAGTAGAAATGTAGATACAGTGTCTCTTACAAGTAAAGATGATGATACAGTGCCTCTTACAAGTAGAAATGTAGATACAGTGCCTCTTACAAGTAGAAATGTAGATATAGTGCCTCTTACAAGTAGAGATGTAGATACTGTGTCTATTACAAGTAAAGATGTAGATACAGTGCCTCTTACAAGTAGAAATGTAGATACAGTGCCTCTTACAAGTAGAAATGTAGATATAGTGCCTCTTACAAGTAGAGATGTAGATACAGTGTCTATTACAAGTAAAGATGTAGATATAGTGCCTCTTACAAGTAAAGGTGTAGATATAGTGCCTCTTACAAGTAAAGATGTAGATATAGTGCCTCTTACAAGTAGAGATGTAGATACAGTGCCTCTTACAAGTAGAAATGTAGATACAGTGCCTCTTACAAGTAGAAATGTAGATATAGTGCCTCTTACAAGTAGAGATGTAGATACTGTGTCTATTACAAGTAAAGATGTAGATATAGTGCCTCTTACAAGTAGAGATGTAGATATTATGCCTCTTACAAATAGAGATGTAGATATAGTGCCTCTTACAAGTAGAAATGTAGATATAGTGCCTCTTACAAGTAGAAATGTAGATACAGTGCCTCTTACAAGTAGAAATGTAGATATAGTGCCTCTTACAAGTAAAGATGTAGATACTGTGTATCTTCAAAGTAAAGCTGTATTTACAGTGCTTCTTACAAGTTGAAGTGTAGCTAAATTACCTCCTACAAGTACAGGTGTAGATTCAGTGCCTCTAAAAGGTAGAGGTGTAGATACTGTGCCTCTTACAAGCAGAGGAGTAGATACAATGCCTCTTACCATTAAAGGTGTATATTTAGTGCCTCTAACTACTAAAGATGTAGATAAAGTACCTCTTACATCTCTAGGTATAGATACAGTATTTCTTACATGTAGATGTGTAGATACAGTACCTCTTACAAGAAAAGGTGTAGATACAATGCCTCTTACAACTAAAGGTGTAGATTCAGTGCCTCTTACAAGTAGAAGTGTAGCTACACTACCTACTACAAGTGCAGGTGTAGATTCAGTGCATCTTACAAGTAAAGATGATGATACAGTGTCTCTTACAAGTAGAGATGTAGATACAGTGCATCTTACATGTAAAGGTGTAGATGAAATATGGAGCTAATGAAAAAGTCCATTAAAAAGTACAAATCGTGAGCAGAGCAAACACGGACCTCCAAAAACATCAGAGTTGGATCAGGTGCTATTGAGGAGTGAGCAGGTGTAGTTACAGTGTCTCTTATAAGTAAAGATGATGATACAGAGCCTCTTACAAGTAGATGTGTAGATACAGTGCCTCTTACAAGTAGAGATGTAGATACAGAGCCTCTTACAAGTAGATGTGTAGATACAGTGCCTCTTACAAGTAGAAATGTAGATACAGTGCCTCTTACAAGTAGAAATGTAGATATAGTGCCTCTTACAAGTAGAAATGTAGATATAATGCCTCTTACAAGTAGAAATGTAGATACAGTGCCTCTTACAAGTAGAAATGTAGATATAGTGCCTCTTACAAGTAGAAATGTAGATATAGTGCCTCTTACAAGTAGAAATGTAGATATAGTGCCTCTTACAAGTAGAGATGTAGATACAGTGTCTCTTTCAAGTAGAGGTGAAAATATACTCTCAAATTATGGTTGCCTTTGATAAACCGTTGGATATGTAAGTTTTTTTAGCCAGTTACCCTAAACAAGAGTGCTTCAAGCAATACGTTTTGCCTGAAAGTATATTTGGGAAAGTGATAAGCCGCCCAAACAGTCACACAAATAGCCGGGTGGACAGACAAAGAACAAAGTGATCCCTGCATATCCACCAATCGTCCATATTGTAGGTGACCCAGTTATTTAAAGGAATGCTGAATTCTTCTCCCTTTCTAAAGTGATTTACAAGAGTAGAACTTGAAAGCAAACTTATCTCAATGCATCCAATTTCCAATAAATTTGGATGCTAGCTCACGGTGTGAATAATGCATGCATGTGTTTCTGTCTGCCCTTAATTTTTATTCCATTTTTAAAAGAGAAGGGTTACATTCCCCATTTCTGTCTACAATAAAGTCTTAACCATTGATCTAAAAATATTATAAAACACCTTGTGAAACTTAACCTGCATATTAACCAGTTAGGGCGTTCTTTCTGTACCAGGCTGGCTGCTCTCCTTTCGAAATCGAGGTCAAGGTCAAATATGTTAAGAATGTCAAGCTGTCTATTTTGTTTGGACATAATGTAGGAATTACAAGCTTTTGTACATGAATAAAATTTATATTAAAGAAAGATGACGTAAACAATTTAGAAACATTGACCCCTCAGAACTTCTACATATATCATCGCGTGTTTACTATAATTTTATGGGTCATTTATACAAATGTAAACGAATGAAACACGATGATGAATGAAATATTGCTTTTGTAAATAATGAAAATAATTATTTATTTATTACGTAAGAAATTTAGTGGCTATCATATGTGTGATTTTTTTTTTATTAAAGGCCATCTGCCTGCATCTTAAAATAAATATTCATTTAGCAACATCTCAGCTGTGGCCTTGTTAACGATTCAGGTGCATACATTGTATATAGGCCAAATACGGGGATTTTTGTCTACATGCCTAATAATAAGCAGGATAAAAATTATGTTTTTAAATATAGTTCAACTTTATAATAGGTTTTTATTTCTTGGAGATCTATATGGTTGGTTTTCAAGTTTATCCTCTTTGCGATAGATCAAAAAGATCCATTTCACTTGTATTCTAATGAATTAGGGATTATTTTTATAGTTTGTTAATTTCTGTTATCATTTAAGTCTTTAAGGCGTCATTACTCAATCCACATATAACTGAATTGCTCTCCGCTGTGCGATAACATTATCAATTTAAGTCGCCATTTTTCGTGTGCTGCGTTTACCACTTTCCCATTTCAAAGTCTCGAAAAACTGCGAAAATCCAGCAAATTCCTTGAAATAAAAAAAACCGACGTAATGGATAGATAATTAAGATAATTTGATATTTACACAAACATTATCTATTTAATACTTTTATTTCGAAATAATACTCGATTGATTGATTGAATGTGTGTTGTTTTACGTCCCGTTCGAGAATTTTTTACTTATACAGAGACGTCACCATATACTGGCGAAGGGCTTCAAATTTAGACCTTTACTCGGCACTCAGGGCCATTGAGCAGTGAGAGTTCTTTATCGCGCCAACACCTACCGTGACACAGGGCCTCGGTTTTAAGGTCTCATCCGAATGACCCGCAACTTTCACTTCAAAGTGCCGAGCTCTTGGTGAAGGAACAGTTGCTATCTATTTATTATCGACTTGCATCGGTCGCGGGCGTGATTCGAACACACTACCTTCCGATCACGGACCGAGCACTCTGCCGACTGAGCTACCGTGACGGCTGAAATAATACTCGAATATTCCCTGATAAAACTCTGATTGTTTGGTAGTGCACCGTAGGGCCTCACATGCAAGTAAAAAAAATTCTAATCTTTAAATAATTTTTTTTCAAAAATATTAAGATGTACTTGAATATGATTAATAAAAGTTTGCTGAAAATTTCAGCTCAGTGCGTGCATTATTTATCAATAATAACGTAATGTCCACGATTTTACCGGACAACCCTCGTATATGTTGTATATGGTGGGTTAATTAAAGCCCGAGATAATACGCACCGCCTTCAAATTTACCTGGTCTATCAACCCATGTCAATCAAACTAATTACAGTCCTGGATTGGATACTAGAAATTGATTGACATTCCGTTACTAATCTCTGTGTATACCTTGAACACTTTGTCTGGCGATCATGCCGATACTCAAAGTAACTAAATAAATTAATTTATCACAAATCTATATGGTAGGGTTTTTTTAAATCTTGGACATAGATTTTACTCTTTGTTGAAGATCTAAATGTATTTGGTAGGGTTTTAAAATAAGCATCATCTTTCTTACAGATCTGTATGGTAGTTTTTTGATATCTCGGTACGTTTTTAAGATAGAATTTACTCTTTGTTGTGAATAAATGTGGTGGTTTTATAAGATCTTTTCTTTATTTTGATCTCTCCTATTTGTAAGATAGATTTCTTTTTTGTTGTTGAGTTTTTGGTCGGTTTTTAAAAAAGGTTTCCTCTTTATTGTAGATCTATATATGGTGGAATTATAAGATTTCTCATTTAAATAGATCTCTCCTATTCATAAGATAGATTTCCTCTTTGTTAAGAGCTTCCGGTTGATTTTTAAGATAGATTTCCTCTTTGTTGTAGAGCTTTTGAGCTTTCCTATTTGTTATAAACATCTATATGGTAGGATTTTAACTTGGATTTCCTCTTTCTTATAAATCTCTTGGTTAGTTTTGAAGCCCCTTCTTTTCATAAAAATAAATCAAATGATCAGACACTTAACAGTAACTTTTCTGACATAAGAAATCAAATATTCCACATATGATGTATCACAATTTTTGTAAATAGAAAATGCGTTTTATTACAGTACATTGTGAAAGAAATATAATGTTTTTTCAAGTAATTTTCCTTAAAACAGTACAGTAAGTATATGCTTTTTTCAATTATAATCATGGCAGTAAAAAAAAATGCAACTAGGCATTAAATGCTACTTTACCAATATATGGGAGGATGGAGTACTTTGGGTGATTTCTTACTTGATTAAAAGAAAATTGAACGGTTTTCTCAGCATTTCAAAAACAAAAAGGTCAGAAACTAGTTGTTGCCAGATCATTTATTTAGATCTCTTTGAGCTTTTGCAGCATATTGAACTTAATGGTGATGAAGCTTTCTAACGGGAGAAAGACCCGACCGAAAGTTCAAGGTCAGTCTTTCTTTTTTTCCCAGCTGAATTTTTAACCAAGGACAAAATTGCAAGAATAAGCTTGGTAAGGTAGATTTCCTCTTTGTTGTAGATCTTGGCGAGTTTTTAAGATAGATTTCCACTTTGTTGTAGAGCTTTCGGTGGGTTTTTTAAAATAGATTTCCTCTTTGTTGTAGAGCTTCCGGTGGGTTTTTAAGATACATGTAGGTTTACTCTGTTGTAGAGCTTTCGGTGGGTTTTTATATGTTTCCTCTTTGTTGTAGATCTTTATGGTGGGTTTATAAGATCGATATCTCCTATTCATAAGATAGATTTCCTCTTTGTTGTAGAGCTTCCGGTTGCTTTTTAAGATAGATTTCCTCTTTGTTGTAGAGCTTCCGGTGGGTTTTTAAGATAGATTTCCTCTTTGTTGTGGATCCATTGAAGTCACGTGCTTATTTTGACCCCTTTCTTTGTCTTGCAGACAAAATGTGTTTAGACAACAAAAAAAATGGAATGCATTCTCAAGGACAGGATTAATTTTGTTGAACTTTACGTGGTTGTGTATAATATGAGCAAGATAATAGTCTTTGATTAGAACTGAGGATAATGTATATTTATAAACAAGCGAACAATTATTAAAGGAACTAATTCTATAATTACTGATACTGGCAATCTCAAAGAAACAATGGCCACAATTTTAAATTAAAAAAAAAACATTATCAGTGTATTTTTTTGAAATTTCGTTCTGAAGTGTTTCCTTGCAAATATGTGGTCACGTGGTTCGAACCCAGGGATTATGCTGAAAACCAGGACAGGGAATCGACAACGCGAGGGAGCAAAGACACCAAAGTTAGGTAACGTCAAATCTAGGGCGACAATGCGA